GTCCCAGCCATCTAGTTTAGCCCCAATCCACGCCGCGTGAGCGGCGTGGAGGATACTCTCGGCGGTGGTGGCGGAGGTTGTTGGAAGTGCGCAATTTAAGATGAAGGAAGTGCGCAATTGATACGTGACTGAGGCCCTGTTAGGGTATATTTTCCGCCTCGATAATTTAGGACCGGTATTCAGAGGATAGCCGATGTTTAAAAAGAAAATTATCTGGTACACATCCTGTTTGGTATAAGTGAGGATCTGAAACGGATAAGAACATATACCCAAGTACCCCTTGTATTTAAAATAATATGAAATGTATTCCCTCTCCCCAGCTCTCCAACAAATTATTGTGGGGGGGGGGGGGTGCTCAGCTTTAAACAAATTATTATGGGGGGGGGGGGGCCTCAGCTTTAGAACAAATTATTGGGGGGGGGGCTCTTAGCTCTCCAACAAATTATTGTGGGGGGGGGGGGAGCGGCTTGTGCCGCCCCGTGCTCTGGCACCCCTGGTCTGGGGCATGCCAGTAACGTACCTCACTGTGACACCTCACGCAACACACTAACAGTACAAAGTTTAAGAAATGTTACAAACATACAATTTACAATAAAATGAAATGTAACAGCAGAAAAAGCTTAATAAATATACATGCTTAACAAGATATGCATTCACTAAATACAAACTGTCAGCGTCTGTGGCTTAGGCGTTGCAAACGAGCTTCATAATGCCGGGGTGCTGGGTTCGATCCCAGCTGCGGGGATTGAGCGTCGACAGTGGTATAGAGAAGCCATCCATCCAGAAAGCAATGGCAAACTACTGGACGTAAATCTGCCCAGAAAAACCACAACAGCCAAAATATGCTGGGGTTGGTTCTGCAATGTCCGGTAAAGGACAAGTAGCTAACTAACTAACTGACTAACTAACTGACTGACTAACTAACTAACTAACTGACTAACTAACTAACTGACTAACTAACTGACTAACTAACTAACTGACTGACTAGCTAACTAACTGACTGACTAACTAACTGACTAACTAACTAACTGACTAACTAACTAACTAACTGACTGACTAACTAACTAACTGACTAACTAACTGACTGACTAACTAGCTAGCTAACTACCTAACTACCTAGCTAACTACCTACCTAGCTAACTACCTACCTAGCTAACTAACTACCTAGCTAACTAACTACCTATCTAGCTAACTAACTAACTAAACTAACTAGCTAACTACTACCTAACTAACCTAGCTAACTAACTAAACTAACCTACTAGCTAAACTAACTACTACCTACCTACTAACTAACTAACTAGCTAAACTAACTACCTAGCTAACTAACTACCTAGCTAACTACTACCTACCTAGCTAACTAACTAACTAACCTAGCTAACTAACTACCTAGCTAACTAACTACCTACCTAACTAACTAACTACCTAGCTAACTAACTACCTAGCTAACTACCTAACTAACTAACTACCTAGCTAACTAACTAACTACCTAGCTAACTAACTACCTAGCTAACTACCTAGCTAACTACCTACCTACCTAACTAACTAACTACCTACCTAGCTAACTACCTAACTAACTAACTAACTACCTACTACCTAGCTAACTAACTAACTACCTAGCTAACTACCTACCTAGCTAACTAACTACCTAGCTAACTAACTAACTACCTACCTACCTAGCTAACTAACTAACTACCTAGCTAACTAACTACCTACCTAGCTAACTAACTAACTACCTACCTAACTAACTAACTACCTACCTAGCTAACTAACTAGCTAACTACCTACCTACCTAGCTAACTAACTACCTAGCTAACTAACTAACTAACTAACTAACTAACTAAACACAAATTAATGTTGTGTAGCACAACAAGCAGAGAACAGAATGGGGAAAGTGTTGGGGAAGGGAGGGAATGAGAAGCAAGAGTTTGTTTTCTTCCTCATTGAGATCCAAGTACAGTCATCAACTTTAGTGTGTGTGTGGATATGTACATTAGAAACAGCACATAAGACATACACACACATGCGTATATGTAAGACCTGGATATGTACATCAGAAACAGCAGATAGAACATACACACACATGCATATACATATGCGTAAGACAAACAGAGAAGCTGGAGCAGGCATAACTTGTCCTACACCAGAAAGGTTAGCAGACGTTCAAGGGAAGCAACCAGTCTGAACAATCACCACAAATATCATGACAGTCAAAGAGATGGCATAGAGACTGCAAGATTTGGTTAGTTGCTTTGTTGGTTGTGAAATATCTGGGCCATTTAAGTTTTAACTGCGATGTATCGGGGACAAAAAGGGGGATGGGGATATATACACATTGCATAGAACAAACATGGAAAGGTGGCCACTGGGAAAAGCCAGATTTTTTCGGGGGATGGTATATTCAACCAAAACACAAGGCAGACAATGGCTGAGATTTACAGGGAAAACAAATCACAGGCGGTTTGGGACTCAGAGAGTTGGGATCTTGCAGGGAAAAGTTGGGATCTTGCAGGGAAATCAGGAATTCCCACCTGACACATTAGGCACTGAAGATAACTGTAGGTGAACACCATTTTCTCTACCAACTTCTGTTACAAACAACACAAATATAACAGTTTAACCATGAAATGGAAATAAGGGAAATACCAGAAATGCAATGGCATCTGTTGAATCAGTAATAAAAGTGAGTAGGTATTATGTCATGAGTTTTACACTTTAGATGAACTGTATACACAGCTAATTTCCTCAGGCTGTTAAACGTAGATCTGATTAAGGCATTTAATTGAAATTGTAGTTTCTAAACAAACCAGCACTAGAGACACATGGTTGGTTCAGGCAATGCACGGTACCATTGACAGACAATTAATCTTAATAGTGAACATTGTATACATATTTTCTCTCACAGAAAATCAACGAATACAAACCTTATCTCACAGAAAAAAACTTCATCATTTCCTCTCCTGCCATTCATTCATCCTCGCCATGCCCTGTATACCTCCCTGTGTCTTGATCCCATCCTCCTGGTGCCCTTGATAACTCCCTGTGTCTTGATGCCATCCTCCTGGTGCCCTAGATACCTCCCTGTGTCTTGATCCCATCCTCCTGGTGCCCTTGATACCTCCCTGTGTCTTGATCCCATCCTCCTGGTGCCCTTGATACCTCCCTGTGTCTTGATCCCACCCTCCTGGTGCCCTTGATACCTCCCTGTGTCTTGATCCCACCCTCCTGGTGCCCTAGATACCTCCCTGTGTCTTGATCCCACCCTCCTGGTGCCCTTGATACCTCCATGTATCTTGATCCCATCCTCCTGGTGCCCTTGATACCTCTCTGTGTCTTGATTCCACCCTCCTGGTGCCCTTGATACCTCCCTGTGTCTTGATCCCACCCTCCTCGTGCCCTTGATACCTCCCTGTGTCTTGATCCCATCCTCCTGGTGCCCTTGATACCTCCCTGTGTCTTGATCCCACCCTCCTGGTGCCCTGTGTCTTGACGCCATCCATTTTGTACTTCCCTGTGTCTCGATCCCATCCTCCTTTGATCCCATCCCATTTGTGAACTGTGCATTGCTCTTTACGCCTCAACCCCCCCCCCCTTCCCCTTTCCCCATAAGATAATACTACAAAGAAAGATGAGCAGTGAAAGAAGCATGAAAAAAATCAGTAAACTAGTGAAGCCCAGAGAGTGCTGTACATCTCTCCCCCCCCCCCCCCCCTCCTCCAGTGTATGGCCAATCAATCAACTGGTTTTGTCAGCTGCTGCAAGCTGAAGGAGATGCTGAACATGGGATCTGAGCGCTTATGGAATGGTCCGATCTGCAGTTAGGATGATTAGATAATTATCTAAATTGTTATTTCAGCAAAAACTAAAAAAACTGTAAACTTTGTATGTTCTTAACTATGTGAGCCTTCTACTTGTCTTCCTCCAAGCATTTCATTGCTGAATTGTTGTGGGGGAAATGTAAGTATCTTCTCTGTACTCCTGTCTCACACATTGTATAAGTTGATCATAATTTATGTAAGACTGTTCTGCTACACATAATCTTCCCATGCCCCGCCCATATACACACAGTTCACTTCTGACTCGTAGTTCCTAAACCTGTCACCTTGGCCCAAGGTTACGGGGGTGTTCCACAATGCTGCTCATATGGCATGTTGTATATTTCAGCACGCCAGCACTTTTAACACACCAAAAACATGGAGAAACTGGCCCTAACACAACTCCCTTTAGAGAGGCTGAAACCTGTGTCACAGGCATTCTCTTTCTTGGAATAAAAACATAAATGCAAGACAACATAGAAAGCAAACAACAGAGTGGGACACCTTCAGGAAAGTTGACCAGCCCAACATACTTGTGAATGAAAAGCTACCTACTCTATTTGGGGAGATTAACGTTATTTTAACCGACTATTTTTAATGCCGTCATTCCATTTTCCCCCCATTCTGTGTTGATTATATTTCATCAACTCTGGGGCAGTTGGTTACTGAACATTCTCATCAGATGACCAAACCATTTCATCCTAAAGACAGGAATCATGAATTTTGATGACATCCAGCAATGTTTTGTTATCATTTACAAGGAATAACCCACAATATTCCTTCTGATGCAGAACAACAATTCCTTCAGGCAATACTAGAGAGATCGCCTACGTTGATTTACATCCCAGTACAGATTCAGGGCTACCCATTGAAGACATCCCAAAGAAAACATTGGCGATACGCTGAGGTAGTCGCAGTTGTGCTGTGATACTGTAGGACAGGGCTATTCAACAGGTGGCCTGTAGACCAGATCTGGCCCGTGAAGGATTAGCAAGTGGCCCGCAGATCACTGCCAGTTGTATTGTGTTACTGATCTTTCTATGGTGGGACATTGGCTTCTGGCCAGTGACAATCCCCGTTTTCCAACATTTTGGCCCCGGAGTAAACTTAGTTGAATAGCTCTGCTGTAGCATATGTCCTGCAATTACACGAGCCCTGACGTGCCGGTACTTTCTGCTGGTCCTCGGTTTAGTTGACTTTATTCTCCTCTTCTCTGATTGAAACGTATGGCCAGCACCCAAGCAGAAACTAGAGGGCAGAAAAAACATTCATATGAAAACATACATACATATCTACATGTAAACATTACACATTTTTGAGGCTGGTGGGGTTCAACTTGTTTAACTGTGTAATAATAATAGTATTGTGCTGAATAGTTAATAATCATGATAAAATATTAAAAGTAATGTATAAAAACATACTTAAACATCCCTGTGTGGGATCCGGGGCCCTATTATCGGGAAAACAAGAATAGACCCACTGCCTCCCCAAAAGCATGTCATAAGAGTCGACTAATTGGGAGCATCCTTCGAAGTCTGAGTGCATCTGCCTAAGAGGCAAGGAACCAACAGTCTGCATACAAATTAGATCTGTCAAACGGATGCACACACACCAGTAAGGTTCTGGAACAGAACTGCAGCCTAGAAGTGGATGAACAACCAGAACTTTCCGCCAGAGTTTACAGCTGGTGAACGCAAAGAAGAAGAAGAAGAATACAGGAGTGAGGCAGGGATGCGTGCTATCTCCTCTCTTATTTAATATATACATAGATAGAATATCAAAAGAAGCCAGCTTTAAAGCAGTCGACCCAGAAAATGAGGTAACTTTACTTACCAGAGGAAAAAAATTAGATCCACACACAATAAATTAACTACTATTTGTAGATGATCAGTGAGGGGAGTAGACTACAAGAACATTTGAACAGGCTAAGTTCAACATGCAGAAGAATGCTTAAAATACCTTAGCCAGCCAAAAAGAGCAACCAAGAGGTTTTGAAAGAAGCGGGAGCCCGAAGACAACTTATCACAGACATGAGAAGGAGACAGTCATAATTTTTTGGCCATGTTATGAGAAGAGGGAAAATAGAACATGTGGTGACCACTGGAAAGATGTGTGGAAGGAGGGATAGAGGAAGACAACGAGAGAAGATACTTGACGGTCTTGTTGCATGACATGGAGGTGTGTCGGCATACGAACTGATACATGCTGCAGGAGATCGCAGATTATGGAGAGGCATGATCGCCCATGCCAGTCGGCAAGGCACCTGATGATGATGATGATGAAGTTCAACATGCAGAAGATATAACAAGAAAATAAATACAACCAAAACTGAAGTAATACAGGTCAGCAGAATTCCTAGTCCTCTGCATATCAGGTTGAAAGGCACCTGTCTGGTGTAAGTTAGAGAATTAAAATATCTAGGAACTATATTCTCGGAGAATGGGAGAATATATCGGGAAATAGAAACAAGACACCAACAAGCCACTGCACATACACCAACTAACACTGTTATTAAGACATCCAAACATAAGTATGAGCGCCAAGAAACAGACTATAAACAGCATATTCATACCAACACTGTGCTACCAGTGCCAGACTTGGACATCATCAAAGACTAACCTATGTGAAATTAATCGTCCTAGGAGAACATGGACTGATAACATTAAAGAGCTTCTACATAGACACGGTAGCCATTGCTGCCCATCCAGCAATGGATCGTAAACTGTTCCTCCCCACAACGCTTAACAGCAGAAGTGGAAACTGATGATGATGATGACATCTGATAATAGCTTATAGTGAAATGACAAACACAGTAAAATCCTCGTTAATACAAAATTACTTAAGATGAACATTGGTTGAACATAAACAAAATTTTGGTTTCTCCAGGGATGTGTCATTGAACGGTTGATTTCTTGATCCCCTGGGATTTATGTTAACGAGGTTTTTACTGCATAACAGATGAGCTAACACAAACATGTCAGTTCTGACCTTGAGTTGTGGTTTCTTGTGTAGATACAGGTAGCGGGTCTGTATGCTGAAATATCAACATTACAATCAGCTGTGATATCAACATTACAGTCAGCTAGGATATCAACATTACAATCAGCTGTGATATCAACATTTAAATCAGCTGTGAAATCAACATTACAATCATCTGTAATATCAACATGGTAATCAGCTGTGATATTAACATTACAATCAGCTGTGATATCAACATTGCAATCAGCGGTGATATCAACATTACAATCAGCTGTGATACGAACATTACAATCAGCAGAAATATCAACATTATAATCAGCTGTAATAGCAACATTACAATCAGCTGTAATAGCAACAGTACAATCAGCTGTAATAGCAACAGTACAATCAGCTGGGATGTCAACATTACAATCAGCTGTAATAGCAACATTACAATCAGCTAAAATATCAAAATTACAATCAGCTGGGATATCAACATTACAATCAGCTGTAATAGCAACAGTACAATCAGCAGAAATATCAACATTATAATCAGCTGTAATAGCAACATTACAATCAGCTGTAATGGCAACAGTACAATCAGCTGTAATAACAGTACAATAAGCTGGGATGTCAACATTACAATCAGCTGGAATGTCAACATTACAATCAGCTGTAATAGCATCATTACAATCAGCTGGGATATAAACATTACAATCACCTGTAATAGCAACATTACAGTCAGCTATAATAGCAACATTACAATCAGCTGGGATATCAACATTACAATCAGCTGAAATATCAACATTACAATCAGCTGTAAAAGCAACATTACAATCAGCTAGGATATCAACATTACAGTCAGCTGTGATATCAACATTAGAATCAGCTGTAATAGTAACATTACAATCAGCTGGGATATCAACATTACAATCAGCTGGGATATCAACATTACAATCAGCTGTGACAACTGGCTGAAATAACAACATTACAGTTAGCTGTGATAACTGGCTGAAATAGAAAAATTACAATCAGCTGTGGCAACTGGATGCAAAATATTGGCTGAAATATGCAGCTGCATCAGTGGCTGTAGAATACTGGCTATAACAACTGGCTGAAACAAACAGCTGCAGAAACCAATTGTAACAAACAGCTGCAACAACCACCCATAACCATATTCTGCCTCTCATCTCTCAATGTACATAAGCATTCAATACAATCATGCTAGGATTTGTGCAGACCTGTTCACAAGTGGTTTGATTTTGCAGCTCAAGGTTTTCTAGCAGATGACCAAACCAGGTCTCCCCTTCATCCCTCCTCCTCCTGTCTTTCAAGGATCACATAAAGAGAGTTGCAACAAAGGCTCAAAAAGGTCTTAATGCACTAAAGATTATGGCAGCGATGGACATGGAGCAGAGAATACTGTTCACACTTTACCAGCACTCAATCTTCTCAGTGATTGATTATGGATTAGGGTTACTCACTGTCTCGAAAAGTCAGCTAGAGAAACTGGAGAGCATACAGAATGAAGCTATGCGGCTGATCCTGGGATGTACAAGAGACACCCCGATTGTGTGAATGAGATACATCCTTACATTGCCGACTATTGCAGATAGGCTAAAGGTGCTGCAGGCTAAGTCATACCTCAGAGTAGCTGCAGACAGAGAACACCATCTGTATAAAGCTTTGGCTGCAGGTAAAGGTCAGAGGTTAAAAAAGGGAAAATCATAGATAGCTCAAGCAAAAGACACAATAAGACAAGTATGCATGCTGGAGAACATTGGATGAGGAGAGGAGTGGGTCAGAGCACCATAGGAAAGTCTGACCTGTGTAGAGTTATGATCTCTTTACGCTGGAAGTGCAGAGAGTGGCCAGCAGGTGCTACGGAGGTGAAAAGCCAACAGTTGATTCACGAGGATTCTCGCCCAGATTATCTGATTATCTTTACAGATGGCTTGGTGTTAAGAGGAAAGAAAAGTGCCTGGGAGTTCATGCGAAAGCTAATGGAAAATTTTTAGTGCAAGACAGCCTAGCATACGATATGATTGAGAAAGGCAATGGAAACTCTTTAGTGCCTAGCAAACAATACTCCAACATATAGAATGAGAATGGAGGTGGAGGCAATCACTGCAGCTTTCTAGTGGCTACAAAACAAGATGCTTACACATGATGCACTTGCAACAGATTCTGAATGCATGCTAATAAAGGTGAAGACAGGGATGCTTCAATTAAAGTGGCAAGCTTCACTGGGAAGGTCACGGGTAGTGAGCATACTTTGGATCTTTTCCCCAGGCCACACCGGCATGGTGGAGAATGAACAGGCAGACAGATTGGCTGGCAGATGTGGTCAACGCCTTTTGGGAACAAGCAAAGGAGTCAGAAGAGAAAGAAGATTATTATGGCCTGGAGAGAATGAGGCACCTGGGTGTAAGCAAAGAGTCTGGCTGGCTCACTACACTAGGAGGAAATGCAAGACGGACATATTACCAGATTACGACCAGTACTATTAGTACTGGAACTCTGCAGTGTCTGCTGAAGATGAGGACAGAGCATGTGTGGAAATGCACCGGGTGCTGCGATGTCAATTCTTGACTCAACAACTCCCCTTCTTTATCTCCTACAACATGCTAGATTATAGTGGTATTCTCACAACTCAAAGTGCCACCTGAGCAGTCAGACTTGTGTAGAGTCATAATCACGCTGAGCCGGGAATGCAGAGACTGGCCAGCAGGTGCCACAGAGGTGGAAATTCAGCAATTAATTCAAGATAATGCTCGCTCAGAGGATTTGATCATTTACACAGGCGGTTCAGTGTCAAGAGGCAAAAGAAGTGCTTGGGGCAAAAGTTAATGGTCGGCGTTTGGTGCAATAGAGTCTAGCATATGATACCAACAACATCCTGCTTAAGAATGGAGGTGGAGGAGGTCACTGCAGCTTTCCGCTGGCTAGAGAACACGACACACACACACACATTGTAATTGTAACTGATTCAGAAATCATGCTGGGGAAGATCAGAACAGGTATGCTTCGTGCAGAGTGGCATGCCTCGCTGCGGAGGACACGAGTGAGGAGTATTGTCTGGACTTTTTCACCGGGTCACGCCGGTGTGTTGGGAAATGAACAGGCGGACAGACTGGCTGGCTCTGCACAACTTGGTGGATACTGCTACATAATAGGGCAGACGTGGTTAGTGCCTTGTGGGAGAGCGTGTACACTGCGGAGGAGCAGATGGATCACTAAAGTCTGGTGTGATTGATGCAGTTGGGGGTGACGAGAGGTTCTGGCAGAAGCTCAAGGCTCAGAGGAAAGGCAAGACGGACGTTTAATCAGAAAGCTACTGGCACCATTAGTATCGGAACTCTTCGCTGGCTGCTGAAGATGGGGACGGAGCGCTTATGGGAATGCCCCGAGTGCTGTGATGTCGGTTCTTGAATCAAATCAAATCAATCTCCCAACCCAACCACCCCCATGGTTTCCGGGGCCCCATTGGGGGGTGGGGGGAGAATAGACCCACTGCCCCCCTAACACTTTAAGTCTAGTACGATGTGCCAGGTGTAACAAAGACTGACGTATAAACAGACTTGCCAGGGTTCAACTTACCCAAACAACAATCCTAGGTATGCCCCTGAAACTCCAAGTGGGCAGGTGTGACAAAGACTGACATATAAATAGACTTGCCAGGGTTCAACTTACCCAAACAACAATCCTAGGTATGCCCCTGAAACTCCAAGTGGGCAGGTGTGACAAAGACTGACGTATAAACAGACTTGCCAGGGTTCAACTTACCCAAACAACAATCCTAGGTATGCCCCTGAAACTCCAAGTGGGCAGGTGTGACAAAGACTGACGTATAAACAGACTTGCCAGGGTTCAACTTACCCAAACAACAATCCTAGGTATGCCCTTGAACCTGCAAGTGGGCAGGTTTGACAAAGACTGACGTATAAACAGACTTGCCAGGGTTCAACTTACCCAAACAACAATCCTAGGTATGCCCCTGAACCTGCAAAGATGTGCCACCAGGCATGGCATTCAAACAACATGGCTGAAGATCTGCCTACAAACTGGTTTCGTATAGATCTGGCAGAGATTTTAATACAAACAACAACTATTATGCTTTATATCAATGAACAATTACTATGCTTTTTATCAATGAACAATTACTATGCTTTTTATCAATGAACAATTATTATGCTTTTTATCAATGAACAATTACTATGCTTTATATCAATGAACAATTATTATGCTTTTTATCAATGAACAATTACTATGCTTTTTATCAATGAACAATTACTATGCTTTATATCAATGAACAATTATTATGCTTTTTATCAATGAACAATTACTATGCTTTACATCAATGAACAATTATTATGCTTTATATCGATGAACAATTATTATGCTTTATATCAATGAACAATTATTATGCTTTATATCAATGAACAATTATTATGGTTTATATCAATGAACAATTATTATGGTTTATATCAATGAACAATTATTATGGTTTATATCAATGAACAATTATTATGGTTTATATCAGTGAACAATTATTATGGTTTATATCAATGAACAATTATTATGCTTTATATCAACGAACAATTATTATGCTTTTATCAGTGAACAATTATTATGCTTTTATCAGTGAACAATTATTATGGTTTATATCAATGAACAATTATTATGCTTTATATCAATGAACAATTATTATGGTTTATATCAATGAACAATTATTATGGTTTATATCAATAAACAATTATTATGGTTTATATCAATGAACAATTATTATGGTTTATATCAATAAACAATTATTATGCTTTTTATCAATGAACAATTACTATGCTTTACATCAATGAACAATTATTATGCTTTATATCGATGAACAATTATTATGCTTTATATCGATGAACAATTACTATGCTTTACATTAATGAACAATTATTATGCTTTTTATCAATGAACAATTATTATGGTTTATATCAACGAACAATTATTATGCTTTTATCAGTGAACAATTATTATGGTTTATATCAATGAACAATTATTATGCTTTATATCAATGAACAATTATTATGGTTTATATCAATGAACAATTATTATGGTTTATATCAACGAACAATTATTATGCTTTTATCAGTGAACAATTATTATGGTTTATATCAATGAACAATTATTATGCTTTATATCAACGAACAATTATTATGGTTTATATCAATGAACAATTATTATGGTTTATATCAATGAACAATTATTATGCTTTATATCAATGAACAATTATTATGCTTTATATCAATGAACAATTATTATGCTTTATATCAATAATTATTATGCTTTATATCAATGAACAATTATTATGCTTTATATCAATGAACAATTATTATGCTTTATATCAATGAACAATTATATATCAATGAACAATTATTATGGTTTATATCAATGAACAATTATTATGCTTTATATCAATGAACAATTATTATGCTTTATTTCAATGAACAATTATTATGCTTTATATCGATGAACAATTATTATGCTTTATATCAATGAACAATTACTATGCTTTACAATAATGAACAATTATTATGCTTTTTATCAATGAACAATTATTATGCTTTATATCAACGAACAATTATTATGGTTTATATCAGTGAACAATTATTATGGTTTATATCAATGAACAATTATTATGCTTTATATCAACGAACAATTATTATGGTTTATATCAATGAACAATTATTATGCTTTATATCAATGAACAATTATTATGCTTTATATCAATAAACAATTATTATGGTTTATATCAACGAACAATTATTAGGCTTTTATCAGTGAACAATTATTATGGTTTATATCAATGAACAATTATTATGCTTTATATCAACGAACAATTATTATGGTTTATATCAATGAACAATTATTATGGTTTATATCAATGAACAATTATTATGCTTTATATCAATGAACAATTATTATGCTTTATATCAATGAACAATTATTATGCTTTATATCAATGAACAATTATTATGGTTTATATCAATGAACAATTATTATGCTTTATATCAATGAACAATTATTATGCTTTATATCAATGAACAATTATTATGCTTTATATCAATGAACAATTATTATGCTTTATATCAATGAACAATTATTATGCTTTGTATCAATGAACAATTATTATGCTTTTATCAGTGAACAATTATTATGGTTTATATCAATGAACAATTATTATGGTTTATATCAATGAACAATTATTATGGTTTATATCAATGAACAATTATTATGGTTTATATCAATGAACAATTATTATGGTTTATATCAATGAACAATTATTATGGTTTATATCAATGAACAATTATTATGGTTTATATCAATGAACAATTATTATGGTTTATATCAATGAACAATTATTATGGTTTATATCAATGAACAATCATTATGGTTTATATCAATGAACAATTATTATGCTTTATATCAACGAACAATTATTATGCTTTTATCAGTGAACAATTATTATGGTTTATATCAATGAACAATTATTATGCTTTATATCAATGAACAATTATTATGCTTTATATCAATGAACAATTATTATGGTTTATATCAATGAACAATTATTATGGTTTATATCAATGAACAATTATTATGGTTTATATCAATGAACAATTATTATGGTTTATATCAATGAACAATTATTATGGTTTATATCAATGAACAATTATTATGGTTTATATATATCAATGAACAATTATTATGCTTTATATCAATGAACAATTATTATGGTTTATATCAATGAACAATTATTATGCTTTATATCAATGAACAATTATTATGCTTTATATCAATGAACAATTATTATGGCTTTATATCAATGAACAATTATTATGCTTTATATCAATGAACAATTATTATGCTTTATATCAATGAACAATTATTATGCTTTATATCAATGAACAATTATTATGCTTTATATCAATGAACAATTATTATGGTTTATATCAATGAACAATTATTATGCTTTATATCAATGAACAATTATTATGCTTTATATCAATGAACAATTATTATGCTTTATATCAATGAACAATTATTATGCTTTATATCAATGAACAATTATTATGGTTTATGCCAATGAACAATTATTATGCTTTATATCAACGAACAATTATTATGGTTTATATCAATGAACAATTATTATGGTTTATGCCAATGAACAATTATTAAGCTTTATATCAATGAACAATTATTATGGTTTATGCCATAATTATTATGATTAAAAGCAAAAAATGATTATTATGAGTTTCATCAAAGAAGAATATTTTATGCAATCTTTCTTTGTGCAATCTTTCTTTGTCCAATCTTTCTTTGTCCAATCTTTCTTTGTCCAATCTTTTTTTGTCCAATCTTTCTTTGTCAATTGAGACGAGAAAAAGAATTCTTAGAAGCTTTATAAATCCTTTCTTAAAATATAGAAGTGAATCAGAAACAGTTGGTAAATTAGGGAAAATTTATTTGGAAGCTGCAGAGATGTGGTTTTAAACACGAATGATGAGAATACACTAGACAGATAAAAAGAGTAATAAAGTTGTCGGAAAGAACATGACCCACGAAGAGAACTGAATGCCCACGTCAGAAAGAAACAGTTTACATGCTTTGGTCATGTGATGAGAAGGAGAAAACTGGAGTACATTGTGACAGTAGGAAAGTTAGAGGGGAGGAGAGGCAGAGGGAGACCAAGAGAAAAGATACTAGAGGACAGTTTGACATCATGGCATGGAGAATCATCTGTGCCAGAGTTGATTGAAAGTATTGAAAGTACACAAGACAGAAGGTTGTGGATAGACATGACTACTAATGCCACAACACATGGACGTTATAAAGAAGATATCAAAGAAAAATTATTATGATTTATTTAAAACAATTGTTATCTCCACCGTCTTTCTCCATTGACAGGGCTCTGATAACATGAAGGCTTAGGGCAGTGGCCGAACAACTTTGGTAAAAAGCCCATATCTGCACAATGTGTAGACATGGTAAAAAAGTAAAAAAAGTAAAGTAAAGTTCCCTTCTCACGCCTTTCGGCGCATCGGGCATATGGGCAGAGCGTCCCATATTTTTACAGACCATCAGCACTCTGTGGGTAATGTGGTCAGCATTACGCCGGCTGTCTTTACTTTCCCAGGACAGCCCATCCTGGTACCCATTTTAGGCTGGGTCGACCTGCGACGTCCCCATACCACGGCAAAAATCCACGCAGCCTGCAGTGGGTTTCGATCGCGGTATGCTGGCTCACGAGTCGGACTCGCAACGCCTTAGCCACGGACACCGTAGACATGGTAGGTCTGACAATATATACCCGACAGAATTTTAAATGTTTTTTTTTAGTGAAAATTGTGACTTCATAATAATCTTATAATTACATCAATTTGCTGGACAAAACTAAATTTTGTTATGACCAACGGGAAGGAAAACAGTTAATTCTTTGCTTCGATTATTTTTTTAAAGTAATTATTTCCCTCAATGAAAAAAAATAATCTCATTTTCCTAGATTTTTTATGAATGATGATTGAAACAAATTGAAAATAATCATTTTTAGGATTTGATGACTGCAGTGGCATGTATGTTCTCCTGTCTGCTCAGTGGCTTCTGTTTGAAACCACGGATTTTTATTAAAAGTGACAGAACTCCTAAATGTTCTTGCTTCTTCTTATTTTCTATCAAAAAAAAAATTTACTTCTCATCCTTTTTAGGATGACATTTTTCGTTATTCAAAGCCCTACTCTGGCTCTTGCCAGGGGCCGCAATATAGCCTGGACATAAATACGGCCTAAAGGCTGAACTTGGTTTCTGGGACTTCTCCACCGTGATCCTCACCCACATGGTGGCGTATTGTGTCATCGGGTGTTTATCGCTCTTGTGATGTCCTGGTGGGGGTAGAAAGTCAGTCAGTCTTATCTTCCCCTAGTTTCTAAGGCAGAGTTTCATTGAATTACAAGGACGCATTTAAAAAAAAAAAAAATTGTGAAAAAAAAGGAGATTTATAAGATGGTTTCCAGCAAGGACAGGATAAGATGGTTTCCAGCATGGACAGGATAAGATGGTTTCCAGCAAGGATAGGATAAGATGGTTTCCAGCAAGGATAGGATAAGATGGTTTCCAGCAAGGACAGGATAAGATGGTTTCCAGAAAGGATAGGATAAGATGGTTTCCAGCAAGGACAGGATAAGATGGTTTCCGCAAGGACAGGATAAGATGGTTTCCAGCAAGGATAGGATAAGATGGTTTCCAGCAAGGACAGGATAAGATGGTTTCCAGCAAGGACAGGATAAGATGGTTTCCAGCAAGGACAGGATGAGGAATGATGATATCGGAAATATGACAAGTTAACATCAGCCTCAGATTTTGGCAAGAAAAAAAAAACCCAGTGGTTTGGGCATGAAGATCAAACCTGATGAGGTTTTGATAATTGCATATTAGAAAGACCCCCCCCCCCCCCCCCCCCCCCACAAAGATTTGGATGCAAAGACACAGGGATACATACAAACCACACATAACACTTAAAGATACACATACATGACATGCAGAGTCACACAACTACACACAGAGAAACCCACACCCAACACAAAAACCCACACCTTAAACACAGAGTGACCCACACACAGAAATCCACAGCCCACATAATGCAGACACCACACACGTGGAGCAGACACCACACACGTGGAGCAGACACCACACACGTACAGTCAGATACCTGAGATTGGAGCAGTAGACATTGTCAATGTTCCACAAGAGAAAGCCCAGGATGTAGGTCAACAGTGAGACCAGGAAAAAGCTCTTGTTACATTTGGTGGTTCTGTTGGAGAAATAGAGCCATATATTTATGTATAGTTGATTGGCTTGTCAATGGTAGAGTAATATACCACAATATAGTTGATTGGCTTGTCAATGATAGAGTAATATACCTGAACACAGTTGATTGGCTTATTAATGATAGAGTAATTTATAAGAAAACAGTTGATTGGCTTGTCAATGGTAGAGTTATACCAGAAAATAGTTGAATAGTTTATCAATGGTAGAGTAATATACCACAATATAGTTGATTGGCTTGTCAATGGTAGAGTAATATACCACAATATAGTTGATTGGTTTATCAATGATAGAGTAATATACCTGAACACAGTTGATTGGCTTATTAATGATAGAGTAATTTACAAGAAAACAGTTGATTGGCTTGTCAATGGTAGAGTTATACCAGAAAATAGTTAAATAGTTTATCAATGGTAGAGTAATATACCACAATATAGTTGATTGACTTGTCGATGGTACAGCAATATACCAGAATATAGTTGACCAGCTTATTAATGATAGAGTAATATCCCAGAATATAGTTCATGGGCTTGTCAATGATAGAGTTATATACCAGAATATAGTTGATTGGCTTGTCAGTGATAGAGTAATATACCAGAATATTGTTGATTGGCTTGTCAGTGATAGAGTTATATACCAGAATATTGTTGATTGGCTTGTCAGTGATAGAGTAATATACCAGAATATTGTTGAGTGGCTTGTCAGTGATAGAGTAATATACCAGAATATTGTTGATTGGCTTATCAATGGTAGAGTTATATATCAGAATATAGTTGACTGGCTTATCAATGATAGAGTTATATATCAGAATATAGTTGACTGGCTTATCAATGATAGAGTTATATATCAGAATATTGTTGACTGGCTTATCAATGGTAGAGTAACATACCTGAATATAGTTGATGGACTTGTCAATGATAGAGTAATTTACCCGATTATAGTTGATGGGCTTGTCAGTGATAGAGTAATATACCCGAATATGGTTGATGGGCTTGTCAATGATAGAGTAATATATCTGAATATAGTTGATGGGTTTGTCAGTGGTAGAGTAATTTACCAGAATACGTGTTGGATTCTTTTATGAATGATAGATCAATATACCAGTATATAATTGATTGGTTTATCAATGATCGAATAATGTAAGCAAAATAAAGTAAAGGACCTTCTTCCACGCCTTCAGGTGTATTGGGCAATGTTTCCCCGTTGTAAATTTGAACAAACAAGACAAACAATAGACTGCACAATTTACTGACTGGCATATTTCGCTGTGTCTCCTCAGGTGCATACTACAGTAACAATTACATAAATGAAGCAGTTAAGTGAATCCTTTATAACTGAAGTACACTTTTAACAACGATCAAACATGACTGCCTTTTTTACCAGGGCAGCCGTAAAGTCAGAACCATATCGTTCTGTATACAGAGTTCTGGCCGCAGGTGGTGAATCACGGCAGCTTCAAGCAATCTTAGCGTCCTGCCACTGGCAGATGTGTGCAGGTGTTGAAATGCATTATATAACTGACTGACTCATCTTTGACAGAACAATATATATGTATATAGTTTACAACTGAAAGTACAATGCAGACTATTTTCATTATAAATTAGCTACTTTTCAAACCAAAGCAGCCCATTTTTGAACCACCAAGAATGTTTTTCAAATCAAACTGTACGATTTTAAAACTAAGATGTTTTTCAAATAACTTACAACGTTTTCAAATCAAATTGGTGGTTTGACAAAGGTCCCGTTTCAAGTGAAAATGGTGTATCAGTGTGATAAATGACTGACGGGCTTATCCCTTATACCAGCATGCAGCTGAAGTAGAGAAAACGTATGAGGAGATGTGTGGGATACTCACAGACAAACTCTGCTGGCCAGTCCCACGATGAAGAAGACCATGATAGCGTAGGACACCTGCAATGAAAACAAAAAAACAAAATAGAAGACAGGGCACCAAACTTTTTGTGTGTCCGCAGCAGGGCAAGGATTGCACGTCTAAGCCAAATTCGGGGTAAAGACAGAAGATATAACCAACTTCTCATGGGAACAATCATTAGAGGTATCTTGGAGTGGATGTTGCATTTGCGGAATGAGCATGCAATGGAAGGCCCAATGTGCAAAGATGTTGGTTGTGATAACATAATAAAACAATATGGCACTCCTCCAAAAAAGGGTCCTAAATTATCAAGGTTAAAAGCATATCCTAACAGGGCCTAAATGATATGTAAAATTAGAATTTATTTCCGGCAAATATGGCAGACAGGCCATCAGCTCCAACACAGATTAGCAATCATGTTTTACAGATTGATAAACTGGAAGCTGTAGATGTTAGTCCTGGCGACTTAGATATAGATATATATATATATATTAATGAATTAAGATTAGGGTTGGCTTTAACACCCAGACAAATGAAGGGGTATGGATGCAACTCAAACTGAAGCAACTACTGAGGCCCTGTAAGGGTAAGCTTTTGAGCTTGATAATTTGGGACCGCTACTTGGAGGAGTGCCAACAATATAATAATACTTCTTCACTTCATTCTTCCTTTCAATGGTTTTCAGATGAATGGCATCAGGTCCGTATGAAAGTCGTAGTGTGATGCATGCTTTCCACTGATCCACACAGCTTGGTTTTCACTGGAATGGCAGCTAGCCAGACCTGGGATTTCTCTTCTGCATGAAGAGATCATGTCTGTAGCACATCTTCTGTGTTTTTTGGTGCCTGTCCACACAGACCAGAAACACTAGTTGGAGGGTATAGTATAAACAGTCTTTTGGAGGGTTTAGTATAAACAGTCTTTTGGAGGGTTTAGTATAAATAGTCTTTTGGAGGGTTTAGTATAAACAGTCTTTTGGAGGGTATAGTTTTTTTATTTTTTTTATTTTTTTATCGATCACCGGCTGTGAATTCCAGTGGAAGGTACCGGTTAATCGTCCGCTTGGACTTTTGGCTTTCACCTGGACCTGATTTTTGCGTGTACAACCGTTTTTCATTTCCCTGCCTCATGGGCAGCTGTACTCCGACTTCGAAGGAAGACGTCAGGCCTATTTCTAGGTTGACTGTGGCCATTGTTTTGTGTGGGTCGAGACGTTGCCTGATTTGTGTGGTGTCCACTTTGTCTCCTCCGCAGGTATTGCCCTCGGAGTACTCCTTTGGAGCAGCCCCCTGTGGAACATTTAGCCCTCAAGGGAAGGCAGTTGCAGATCTTGGGCATTCCCCGCCATCCAAGGAGGGTTCCATGAATGCAGAGCCGGCACATGGCACTCTGGTTCTGGGCTCACCCAAGGAATCGTCACGTCCTGCACATGCCTGCTTAACCTCACAACCGTATCAGGCCTCCCGCTCGACAGGGGCTGTGCCCTCTGGAAGTCAGCGGGGAGCAGCCCGTGGGTTTTGGACTTTTGTGACCACACAGATAGGTACATTCTTTTTTCTTCGCACGTTAGATTTCTTTGACGAGCCGTTAGCCCGACAGAATTTTACATCCTGCATCAGGCATATCGTTATCAGTTTTGTCCCAACACTCGGGCGAGTGGGGTCTTTGGGTGTGGACATTCGGTCTTTTTCAGTTCAATACAAATTTTGATGGTCAGATTTTGATCCGTATGATCTAGTTTTGTCGGACAATTAGGATGGTTGCTGTTGTGGTGTACCTCAGCGCGGTGTCGACGACACTGAGGGTTAACCAAGGATGTACATGAATGGCCAGCCTATGGATGTTTGCTGTTGTGGTGTACCTCAGCGCGGTGACGACGACACTGGGGGTTAACCGAGGATGTACAAGGATGGCCAGCCTATGGATGGTTGCTGTTGTGGTGTACCTCAGCACGGTGACGACGACACTGAGGGTTAACAGAGGATGTGCAGTGAACAATGTTCTCTTTACTCCGCAGTCTTTTAACCAAGGGTTGTAATTTTGGCTGTACGTTTGGCAAACCTACTCATGTTCCTAATGAGTTTTGATAACATTTTTCACCCAAGCGTTTGGGGGCGGGCTGATGAGAGCCACAAGGACACATCACCTCTGGGGGCCGCCGAACTCCGAGATCCCCTGACAGCTCTGTTAATGCTCATTTGAGACATTATCCGTGGCGCACGACGAGGACGTGCTGTAGGGGTCTTGCGTGAGGTTCTGTACAACCAGGATAGTTAGGGACTGGCGCCCGAGTGACTTACGGAGTATCTCCTTATACACATCATGTTGGACTTAACTTCCCCTCACGCCTGTGACATAAATCACCGCGCCACAGAGGGTATAGTATAAACAGTCTTTTGGAGGGTATAGTATAAACAGTCTTTTGGAGGGTATAGTATAAACAGTCTTTTGGAGGGCATAGTATAAACAGTCTTTTGGAGGGTATAGTATAAACAGTCTTCGTTATGCAGATGAGAAAGTATCTTTCTTCTTTACATCCTCTTTTACTGCTTTGGGTGTCGGTGGAGATGTAAGGTCCTGTTCCATTCTTTGTGATACAGTATTAACAACTGAAAATGCAGAAGACCTACAACAACTATTAGACATTGTTGTACTAGAATGCAAGAAAAAAGAGCGACTTTCCTTGAATATCAAGAAAACAGAAACAAAGGTAATATCAAAGAAGGAAAAGTGCTTAGCCAAGTCAATAAATTCAGTATTTGGGGATATCCACAACATCAGATGGACAATGTGCGACAGAAATTAAGAGCAGAATTGGCCATGTGAAGACAGCGTTGCAGAAGATGAAAAGTATCTTATGTAATGAATCACTCTCATTAAACATCAGAAAATGAGTATTGAAATGTTATATCGAACCTGTTCTGTTTTATGGTAGTGAATCTTGGAATGCGAGCAAACAATCAAGAAGAGTTTGGTGGCAATTGAGATGTGGTTGTTGAGAGACTTTGGAACCTCGACTAACTAACTAATAATTCATGCTTTGCCATATCACTGGCCAGACTTGATTGACAAAGTAACCCCAATGCTCTATGAACCAGGATACAATTCACAAAGATATCAATAGTTGTTGACCAAACTCTAGTGGATTTTTTTTTCAAGATCTAGAAAGCATGAGTCATTAACCTTATGGCTCAGTACTATGGATATCGCAACCCTTCGGCCTTGATTCCATGACAGATACCATAAATCTGGGAGAAATGTAGCTTTTCTGCTTACCCCTGGTTGTAGGAGTTTGTCACTCGGTCGCCGTGCAGTTAGGTTTAACCAACTGAGCTAGTGTGCCGGGCAACTCTAGTGGATAATTAGTTAGTTAGTCGACAGATTATCATCTTCACACATCGTTCCATTCAGTCCATAAGTGCTCAGATCCCCTATTCAGTATCTCCCTCAGGATGTATTGGCTTTTGACACCAGTTCTGTGTTAGTTTACTGCTCTTCTTTGGGCCCCTGTGCAGCGCTCTTATCTGGCTTCACCCATTTTGATGTTATGTTCGTGTAGTCTCGTCAGTGCTGCAGCTTCACAGTCATAACTTGATCCATTTAATCGAGCCACCTCTCTCAGGGCATTTAGTGTGTCGACTCTGTCCATTGCTCATCCGTTTCCCACGTGAGCATCACTTGCAAGTCTTTCAGCTCATTCATTGCCCTTTACACCAGAATGCCCCGAAACAAATGTGAAACTGATTTTCGTCAGCCTAAATACTCTAGTGGCACAAATGTGCATGTTCCAGACGGCAAATGTGGAATAACCTGGCAGCTTGTCCATGCTTTCACACAAAAAAGACTGGATGTAGCTGTTGCTACAAACTGCCTTTGTTTGTGAATCTGTTTCTGGAGCTGAGTTGGAGGAGGGCGATGCAGGGACTCACCTGGTGGAAGATGGGATCATTGATGAGGATGTACACCTGAGGATGAAGCCAGGGAGAACCAGTTAGTGCTCTACAAAGTCTAAAATTTACAGAGCAAAGAAGAATGGTAAATACAAGTGTTACTATGTGAGGTTAATGGTAGCAGGAGTCACTGTCACTTACAGGTGTCTCTATGTCAGGTGCTGTTGTCATTTACAGGTGTCTATATATCCAGTGTCACTGCCACTTACAGGCGTCTCGGTGTCAGTGTCACTTAGAGTATGTCACTGACAGGTGTTTCTATGTCAGGCAGCATTGCCATTACAGGTGTCTCTGTCAGATTAAACTATACCCTTTATAAAGGTAACTGTATCACTACAGGTGTAACTATATCCTTTATAGAGGTAACTGTATCACTACAGGTGTAACTATATCCTTTATAGAGGTAATTTTATCACCTACAGGTGTAACTATATCCTTTATTGAGGTAATTTTTATCACCTACAGTGGTAATTATGTCCTTTATTGAGGTAATTTTATAAATTACAGATGTAACTATAACCTTTGTAAGGTAATCTTATCACCTACAGGTAAACTATAACCTCTGTAGGGTAATCTTTTTAACTTCAGGAGTATCTATATCCTTTTAGGGATAATCTTATCAACCACAGGTGTAACTGTATTCTTTATAGGGTAATCTTATCACCTACAGGTGTAACTATATTATCTACAGGTGTAACTATATCATCTACAGGTGTAACTATATCATCTACAGGTGTAACTATATCGTCTACAGGTGTAACTATATCATCTACAGGTGTAACTATATCATCTACAGGTGTAACTATATCACCTACAGGTGTAACTATATCACCTACAGGTGTAACTATATCACCTACAGGTGTAACTATATCATCTACAGGTGTAACTATATCATCTACAGGTGTAACTATATCATCTACAGGTGTAACTATATCACCTACAGGTGTAATTATATCATCTACAGGTGTAACTATATCATCTACAGGTGTAACTATATTACCTACAGGTGTAACTATATGACCTACAGGTGTAACTATATGACCTACAGGTGTAACTATATGACCTACAGGTGTAACTAAATCACCTACAGGTGTAACTATATCATCTGCAAGTGTAATGATATCATCTTCAGGTGTAACTATATTACCTACAGGTGTAACTATATATTATGGTGGAAAGGCCTCTAGATATAGAAGTTAGCTTCAAATATATTGAATAAGTGGCCGTGGACCAAAACAGGTGATGGTCATTGAGAGGAGGCGAGTTAGTTGGTGGGACAGCTAACTCTATACAATATCTCAAAACTCTACGACATGGCCATCTGCGGGTAAGAGTCGTCATAACCTCTCCCCCCTGCTGCCTTGCAGGGTAAGTCTCTTTAGACAAAGGCTATTGGAGTCAAACCATTTACAAACCGGCGGAAGGCAAGGGGAAACCACCGCTGTATTATCCCAAGAAAATGATGCCTCAAAATAGAACATGTTGTGACCACTGGAAAGATATGTGAAAGGAGAGATAGAGGAAGACAACAAGAGAAGATGCTTGACAGTCTTGTTGCATGGCATGGAGGTATGTCGGCACACGAACTGATACATGCTGCAGCAGATTGCAGATTATGGAGAGACATGATCGCCCATGCCAGTCGGCAAGGCACCTGATGATGTTGTAACTATATTACCTGCAGGTGTAACTGTACTACTGTTGGGTGCAGCTATGTGTAACTCATCAGTGTGTGTATGTGTGGTCTAGTTGTGTGCTGTACTCACAAGTGTGACAATGATGCAGTAACCAGTTAGTGTCAGTTGCAGAGGTAACCTTATCACTCACAGATGTAACTAAATCACCTACCAGTGTAACTATATCACCTACAGGTGTAACTATTTCATTTACAGTGTAACTCAGTGTGTTTGTGTATGGTCTAGTTGTGTGCTGTACTCACAAGTGTGACAATGATGCAGTAACCAATCAGTGCCAGTTGTAGAATGACACTCTCTTCGCCAGGTTTGCTCTTTATCAGATACCTGCAAGCACACATAGGGGCTACGTCAGTTTTCAGTGTGTACTTGAGTTGGGTATTAGGGTTGATTTCAATGTGTGCTAGTGTTGGGTGTTAGGGTTGATTTCAATGTGTGCTAGTGTTGGGTGTTAGGGTTGATTTCAATGTGTGCTAGTGTTGGGTGTTAGGGTTGATTTCAATATGTGCTAGTGTTGGGTGTTAGGGTTGATTTCAATGTGTGCTATGTTGGGTGTTAGGGTTGATGTCAATGTGTGCTAGTGTGTTGAGTTGAGTACTGCTGTGCATGTGTGTGTAGAGGTGTATTTAAGGTGTGGGTGCATGTGTGTGTAGAGGTGTATTTGTATGGGTGCATGTGTGTGTAGAGGTGTATTTGTGGTGTGGGTGCATGTGTGTGTAGAGGTGTATTTGAGGTGTGGGTGAATGTGTGTGTGTGGAGTTGTATTTGAGGTGTGGGTGAATGTGTGTGGAAGAGTATTTGAGGTGTGAGGAAATGTGTGCATGGAGTTTAATTTGAGATGTGGAATGAATGTGACAGAGAAGAGACACACTCTTCCAAAGACAGAAAACAGACTGACAGCAGACCCACTCTTCCATAGACAGAAAACAAACTGACATCAGACCCACTCTTTCCTAGACAGAAAACAGTATTACAGCAGACCCACTTTTCCACAGTCAGAAAACAGAGTGACAGCAGACCCACTTTTCCACAGACAGAAAACAGAGTGACAGCAGACCCACTTTTCCACAGACAGAAAACTGAGTGACAGCAGACCTTCTCTTCAACAGACAGAAAACAGACTGATGGCAGACCCAGTCTTCCACAGACAGAAAACAGACTGACAGCAGACCCAGTCTTCCACAGACAGAAAACAGACTGACAGCAGACCCACTCTTTCCTAGACAGAAAACAGAGTGACAGTAGACCTACTCTTTCATAGACAGAAAACAGAGTGACTGCAGACTCACTCTTCCAAAGACAGAAAACAGACTGACAGCAGACCCACTCTTCCAAAGACAGAAAACAAACTGACATCAGACCCACTTTTTCCTAGACAGAAAACAGAGTGACAGCAGACCCACTTTTCCACAGACAGAAAACAGAGTGACAGCAGACCCACTTATCCACAGACAGAAAACAGAGTGACAGCAGACCTCTTCCACAGACAGAAAACAGACTGACAGCAGACTCACTCTTCCACAGACAAAAAAAAACAGACTGACAGCAGACCCAGTCTTCCACAGACAGAAAACAGAGTGACAGTAGACCCAGTCTTTCATAGACAGAAAACAAACTGACAGCAGACCCACTCTTCCACAGACAAAAGTGACATCATACCCACTCTTCAAAAAACAGAAAACCTATTGACAGTAAAAACAGAGTGACAGTAGACCCACTCTTCCTCAGACAGGAAACAGACTGACGGCAGTCCCATTCCTCTACTTACAGAGAATAGATTTGAATACTGCTGCCCCAGATCATCGGCAGCTCATCCATCAGCTGAGGGACAGAATACAAACACTAGCAGTCACCACTATCAGCTGTTGCTCATAAATACATCAGTTTGTATAACATAATTTTTTTTTTCTCTGCATAGACCAGTGTTTCCCAAACATTTCTTACTCGTGGCGCCTATTTTCAATTAAAAATTTTCCACAGCGCCCTAACTAAGTAAAAGTTTGACTATTCATATGTAAGAGATTAACAAACAAAAAAACAACAACAACATAAAACTTGTGTATCTTTGAATATTTCGCGGCGGCCCTGTGAAGAGGTCGCGGCTTCCCGGGGCGCACAGTTTGGGAATCACTGACATAGACTAAATAATTGCTCCTCTGTTGCCTGGTAATTTTTATCTCTAGACTCCCTTTTCCCCATTCACTTCAATAGAGTTAGGACACGTCACTGTCTGCAGACTCAGTGTGCAAATAGACGTAAATATCTGGTAATGTGTATGGAACCATTGCAGTCTGGGAGTTATCTTTCATGTCACTAGTTTGCCACTGCTTTCTGAACAGCTGGCTTCTGCAGCTGGAATCGAACTGGGTATCTCAGAATTACAAAGCACATTCGCAATGTTCTAGCCACCTACAACAACAGATCAAATATAAACAAGGCGATTCAGTTAGGATCAACAGTCACTGACTCACAGACACACAACTTGGCACATACAACATCACATGGACCATCATATTTGTGTTCCTCTTCAGGTGCTTTATTAAAATCCTACCCCAAACAGGGGAAATCCACAGGTCTAATATTTTATGGGGTGGTAGACAGGCGGCATGCAGTCGTGGGACCTAGGCTGCATGTATTCGTGGGACCTAGGCTGCATGTATTCGTGGGACGTAGGTGGGTTGGGGTTAGGGCCAGTTCTAGATGTTTTGGGGTCGTTAAAAGCATCACAAAGTGGGGAAACCCAGTCTTACCACCCTCTAAAATGTTGGACTGTCCTGTGGCGTCAGCTTGAGTAGGATATTGAAAAAGCACCTATCTTCATTCCTAAAATGGCTTTATGCAAGTTCTAAACCATGCATTGAACTTTCACAACTTTATACTAAACACTGAATTTCAGATAATAAATAGCTCACAGTTGACAACACACTCAAAACTGAGTTTCCTCTCGATGGACAGCCAACACAACCTTACCTGCATGGTATATTTCAAGGTCATATGGAACAGCCATGACCCAATTCCAACAACTGAAACACGATGGGACAGTAATACATACACTTTACTTTCAGAAAATTACATTTGTTAACAGAAAAATTACATATGAAGTAATGCAAATGGAGTAAGTTTCTGCACAGATTATTTGGAAGGGTTCGGGAAAAGGGAAGATATTCCAGCAGGTCGGAAAAAATTGGATAACATCTATGGGGAAAATCAGAAAGGCTGTCATACCTCTGAAGGATGGAAAAGCTGCTGGTCTAAATCATATATCAGCATCAAAGATAGATCTACAACATCAAAGACACTTTACGCCTTCACGACATGACAATAGCCAGTGTGCACTGGATCGCAAATTATTCCTCCCCACGGCATTTAATAGCAGAAGTGGTTTATGATGATGATTTGTTAAAAATAAGCAGACCGAAAAAGGTCTAAAAATGCACAGGGAAAAACAAACAAAAACAATCAGAATAAATATACAGGACATTGTCAAACCAACTCCAGCATGTTTAGGCCGTTTGCAATTTTACGAGGCAATTTTAAATTCAGTAGTTTGCCACTGCTTCCTGAATGGTTGGCTCTGGTTATTATTGTCAAAATCAGGATAAAGTAGTCTGCAGCCAAACTTAGTGCAGCTGGAGTTGAACCGGGTAACTCAGAATTAAAAATTGTGTTTGCAACACCTAAAACTAGGAGCACAACTAAAAGAGATGAAGCTTTATTAAGGGTTTTCAAAAACAGTCTTAGGACGAATCTTTGGACCCATCAAAGATGCAAACAGCAGGGAATGGAGAGTAAGAAGCCACAATGAAATTTATAATCTGTTTAAACCACCATTGATCACTGGCATCATGAGAGCTAATAGACTGAAATGGTTGGGGCACACTGAAAGAATGTCAGATGACAGAGAAGTAAAAACTGTATACACAAGGGAGATGAATGGTGATAGACCATGAGGCAGACCAAGAAGATAATGAAGAGATAATGTTCAGGCAGACCTGCAAACACTTGGTGTCACCAACTGGAAAGAGAAGACGAATCAGAGAGATGAATGGAGGCGGGTGATTTCTGCAGCAATGAACCTCAAGGGCTCAGAATGCTGAAGAAGAAGAAGTTTGAAATACCTGAATAGGCCACAGATACGTTGAAAATAAGTCTATAAGCATAAATAATACATGATGAATATGTAGGCATGTAAGTAAAGTAAATAATTCAGAATATGTAGGTACAGGATACAGCTGATCATGTAAGTAAGTAAATGGACCTCTTTCCAAGCCGACAGGCTTACTGGGCATATGGGGCTAGAATATTTTATAGACTGACTGGCACTCTGTGATGTGGTCAGCATCACGCCAGCTGCATTTACTTCCCAGGAATGTATCTGGTACAAATTCAAGGCTGAGTTGATCTGCAGGCAAGGTCGTTTGGCTTCATCAAGACCTGAACCCACAACCTTCAGATCTGCAGACAAGCATCTAGCTGCTACATCATGGCAGTTCGAAGCCCAAGTTCAAGTTGTCTCCTTCGTGCCTAAGAACTGCATGGCTGTCGGGTGAACAGTCGTTAACGAAGGCAGTCAGGTCGTTGTAGGGGCGATGCTTGCTGGTGGATGTAATGTCCTAAATTCCTTCCCCAGCTAATAGTGAGGGTACTGCTGGGGTGACCATTTATTAACCCTCACATAATGCTTCAGGTCAAAATGGACGCTAGGCACGGCCACATTTTTTTTAGCCGTGGCAAATTTTGTGTGTGCTTCTGTTAGACGGTGGCCGTTTCATTTTAGCTCCATTTGTAGACAGGAAAGATATAGTTTCATTGCCCAGCTTCTGAGCTGAGTGCATGGTGTGACACTGTGAGCTGCAGATTTCACTTGAACTGTGATAAACATTTTGTGTGTTTTTTGTTGGCACAGGAGCGGAGCAACTATGGGGTGACCTGTTTGCAATGAAGCTGAAACTAAGACTACCAGATCCGCAGGCAAGCAACTAGCTGTTAAACCAAGACAGTTGCCATGTCAGTACAAGAATTATCTCAGCAACAACGTAGATATAACAGAGTTCATAATTACCTGAGAGAGCCAGGAAGCTGTAGATGAAGCGTTTCTCATGGTTCTCTTTATATCCAACGTAGACCATCACAAGAGGAGCGAATATCATCACAGCATTGGATAGAGTGTTCCCTGCACACGTCACAGACATAGTTACATCATAACTTACAACATTAGACACAGTGTTCCCTGCACATGTCACAGGCATAGTTACAACATAACTTAAACATTGGACACAGTGTTCCCTGCACATGTCACAGACATAGTTACAACATAACTTACAACATTAGACACAGTGTTCCCTGCACATGTCACAGACATAGTTACATCATAACTTAAACATTAGATACAGTGTTCCCTGCACATGTCACAGACATAGTTACATCATAACTTACAACATTAGACACAGTGTTTCCTGCATACGTCACAGACATGGTTACAACACAACTTACAACATTAGACACAGTGTTCCCTGCACATGTCACAGGCATAGTTACAACATAACTTAAACATTGGACACAGTGTTCCCTGCACATGTCACAGACATAGTTACATCATAACTTAAACATTAGATACAGTGTTCTCTGCACATATCACAGACATAGTTACATCATAACTTACAACATTAGACACAGTGTTCCCTGCACATGTCACAGACATAGTTACATCATAACTTAAACATTAGATACAGTGTTCTCTGCACATATCACAGACATAGTTACATCATAACTTACAACATTAGACACAGTGTTCCCTGCACATGTCACAGACATAGTTACATCATAACTTACAACATTAGACACAGTGTTCCCTGCACATGTCACAGAAATAGTTACATCATAACTTACAACATTAGACACAGTGTTGCCTGACCATGTCACAGACATAGTTACATCATAACTTACAACGTTAGACACAGTGTTCCCTGCACATGTCACAGACACATCCTCACTTACAAGATTAGACAGTGTTCCCTGCACATGTCACAGACACATCATCACTTACAAGATTAGACAGTGTTCCCTGCACATGTCACAGACACATCATCACTTACAAGATTAGACAGAGTTCCCTGCACATGTCACAGACACATCATCATTTACAAGATTAGACAGTGTTCCCTGCACACGTCACAGACACATCATCACTTACAAGATTAGACAGAGTTCCCTGCACATGACACAGTTACATCATAACTTACAACATTAGACACAGTGTTCCCTGACCATGTCACAGACATAGTTACATCATAACTTATGTTAGACACAGTGTTCCCTTCACATGTCACAGACACATCATCACTTACAAGATTAGACAGTGTTCCCTGCACATGTCACAGACACATCATCACTTACAAGATTAGACAGTGTTCCCTGCACATGTCACAGACATAGTTACATCAAAGCTCACAAGTTTTTTCTGTTTTTACATCTAAAAATATCCATGTCAGGATTATTTTTCATTAGACAATCTAGCAGTTCATTATTACTATACTCTGTTATGTCAGCGGATGTGACTTAGGCATCGCGAGCAAGCTTCGCAACGCCGGGGTGTCAGGTTCGATCCCAGCTGCAGATAATTTTTCTAGCATTTGTTTTGACTGTGGTGCCGAGAGCTCGCCGTTCAGAGGCAATGTGATGCCGCTGAATGTAAAACTAGCAAAGGAAAACTACAACAGCCGAAAAATGGTGGGGTTGGTTCTGCAATGTCCTGTAAAGGATACACAACTAACTTTTCTGTTATACTGTAGAATTATATACCGTAGTTAGTTCATTTTCTTTTTCGCAGTACACATCACCTGGACCTTTTTGTTATGTGTAATTATATTTCTTTTCAGCATTACTAGACACTTTATGGTCAAGTAGGGGCACCTTTTTTTGTAGACACTTAATGGTGGGTACTGGCACTTTTTCTAGGAACAAAATTCCCGATTATTATGAACTAAAGAGTTAACTATGGGTGATGTGATACTGCATTGTACTGTTGAATGACACATTGTAGACAATCAAAGAGTTAACTGTGAGTAAAAAGAATACTGCACTGTAGTTTGAACGTATACTACTGACAACAGATGGTGAACAGATGTCATCCACATATTACTGTAGTTTATAATGACATACATCAGACAAGGAAAATATCAGTTAGCAGACAGTTGGAGGAGCTGCTGCAAGTGTATGTTGCTGAATAGAGTCAAATATAACTACTGCTAGCTTGTGATGATATCACTAGCCTGTGATAATTGCTATGCAATGAATGGCAGAGAAGTATATACATTAATTTTGTGGACTTTGAGAAAGCTTTTGACAGCGCCCATAGAGATGGGATTTGGAAAATTTTATGACATTATGGAATTCCAGAAACAATAGTCAACATAATTGCTCTCTTCTATAAAGACTTTTCCTGCAGTATAAAAAATTACAACAGATCTTTCCCAGTAAAGACAGGTGTAAGACAGGGATGTGTTATGTCATCTCTCCTCTTCAACCTTGTGATTGACTGGATACTAAAAAACACAGTAGATAAGACATCGAGAGGCATACGATGGACTCCATTCACCATGCTTGAGGACCTTGATTTTGCAGATGAAATAGCACTCCTATCACATAAACATATACAAGAAAAAAGTAACAGACTACACAGCACAGCAGAAATGGTGGGACTGAGAATAAATACAAAGAAAACTAAGATCATGACAAGCAGTCCAAACCAACAACCAGTGACCATAAATATCCAAACTCTTGAAAATGTAGAACATTTCACATATCTTGGCAGTGTGGTGTCCCTACCGGGAGGGACCGAAGAGGACATTCAGTCACGTCTGAACAAAGCTAGAGCTGCTTTTGGAAGGATGAGGCAAATCTGGAAATCCAACAATTACTGCAGAGGAACGAAACTCCGACTCTACAAGAGCATCATTTTGCCAGTTCTTCTCTATGGAGCGGAATGCTGGAGAATGACCAAAAAGGATGCACACAAGCTGTCCACTTTCCACCACACGTCTACGTAGAATTATCAAAACTTTCTGGCCAGATACAATCTCAAACACTAAAATACTTCAAGTCACAAACCAAGAAACTTTAAGACAGTATGATAACCAAGAGAAGATGGAAATGGCTTGGCCACATTATGAGAATGAATCCTGATATACCTGCCAAAACAGTTCTCACATGGACACAGGGAAAGAGAAAACAGGGGTGCCCAAAAACAACATGGAGACGAACGATGGAAAGTGACCTGAGTGTGGCATCTTTGACACGGAAAACTGCACTGAATATTGCACAGAACAGGAAAGCATGGAAAGTCCTCTCTGAAGCCTCATGCGCCACTAGTCATAACGGGAACTGATGAACTGTGTTACTTCAGCGATAATTACTGTCTGTCACGTGACACTAGGAGCTCTGGTCTGTTTATTGTACACATCTGTGATGACACTTCAGTGATAGTTACTGTTTGCATGTGACACTGGGAGCTCTAGTCTGTTTATTTTACTCATCTATGATGACACTTCAGTGATAGTTACTGTTTGCATGTGACACTGGGAGCTCTAGTCTGTTTATTATACTCATCTATAATGACACTTCAGTGATAGTTACTGTTGGCATGTGACACTGGGAGCTCTAGTCTGTTTATTATACTCATCTATGATGACACTTCAGTGATAGTTACTGTTGGCATGTGACACTGGGAGCTCTAGTCTCTTTATTGTACAAATCTATGATGACACTTCAGTGATAGTTACTGTTGACATGTGACACTGGGAGCTCTAGTCTGTTTATTGTACAAATCTATGATGACACTTCAGTGATAGTTACTGTTGGCATGTGACACTGGGAGCTCTAGTCTGTTTATTGTACAAATCTATGATGACACTTCAGTGAAAGTTACTGTTGGCATATGACACTGGGAGCTCTAGTCTCTTTATTATACTCATCTATGATGACACTTCAGTGATAGTTACTGTTGGCATGTGACACTGGGAGCTCTAGTCTCTTTATTGTACAAATCTATGATGACACTTCAGTGATAGTTACTGTTGGCACGTGACACTGGGAGCTCTAGTCTGTTTATTATACTCATCTATGATGACACTTTAGTGATAGTTACTGTTGGCATGTGACACTGGGAGCTCTAGTCTGTTTATTATACTCATCTATGATGACACTTCAGTGATAGTTACTGTTGGCATGTGACACTGGGAGCTCTAGTCTGTTTATTATACTCATCTATGATGACACTTCAGTGATAGTTACTGTTGGCATGTGACACTGGGAGCTCTAGTCTCTTTATTGTACAAATTTATTATGACACTTCAGTGATAGTTACTGTTTACAGGCAATACTAACAGTTGGCAAAGTGTAACTGCTAGATGCTTGCTGTGGGGTCCAAAGGTTGTGGGTTCAGATCTGCAAGGTGCCAGATTTTTTCTTCAAAAATGACCTGTCTTGACAGAGCCTATAAGTAGGTACCAGGTAAAGTCCTGGAAAGTAAAGGCGACCAGTGTTATGGTGACCAAATTACCTACCTAGTACCAATTGGTCTACAAAAGACAAGTCTAGCACCATATACCCAATGTGCCCAATATGCCTACAAGCGGAGAAAAAGCTCCTATGCAACTTGCCATCTGAAAATGGCTTCAAGGACTTCTGGGTATACGGTATTAGTCTCAAGGTCATGGGGACAACCTTGACTTTTCACGATATTTTCTGGTGACACCTTTAATGTGGGTTGAACTGGTAATGGATACTACATCCAGATGACAGGCAAGGGAACTGGACACCACTATTTCTACTCAGCTGTACACAATACACTCCTTCCATAGCTACAGCAGCCCCAATTTTTCCATAGCTGCCCAGGGAGAGCCAGCTCATCCTCTAAGATCCTGCCATCATGTTTGTGGGTGGGTCCTGCCATCATGTTTGTGGGTGGGTCCTGCCATCATGTTTGTGGGTGGGTCCTGCTATTATGTTTGTGGGTGGGTCCTGCCATCATGTTTGTGGGTGGGTCTTGCCATTATGTTTGTGGGTGGGTCCTGCCATCATGTTTGTGGGTGGGTCCTGCCATCATGTTTGTGGGTGGGTTCTGCCATTATGTTTGTGGGTGGGTCCTGCCTATTTGTTTGTGCGTGGATCTTGCCATCATGTTTGTGGGTGGGCCCTGTAGTCATATTTGTGGGTGAGTCCTGCCTCCCCTAGCTCTCATTTTGTTTGAGGTGGGGGTGATGTGATCCTACATCTTTAATTGATTTAACCAGCCATTGGCCGTAGGTTTCAGGTAGGACAAAGTGATCTCGGACATACATGGTTTCATCTTGGGACAATGTAATCTCGGACATACATGGTCTTTTCTTGTGACAATGTGATCTCAGACATACATGGTTTTATCTTGGGACAATGTGATCTCAGACATACATGGTTTCCTCTTAGGACAATGTGATCTTGGACATACATGGTTTCATCTTGGGACAATGTGATCTCGGACACACATGACTTTATTTTGAGACAAGCATATCTCGTTTTTCTTCTTTGTTCACCGGCTGTAAGCTCCGCTGGAAAGTCCTGGTTGTTTATCCATTTGGACTTTGTGCTAGGGCCCGATTTTTGTGTGTACATGCGTTTTACTGGCTTTTTTGTGTGCAATGCGTTGTTTTCTGCTATTGAGGCAAATATATTCCATCTTTGAAGGAAGTCCCCAATTAGTCGACTCCTACCACATGCTTCTTGGGTAGGCAGTGGGTCTATTCCCCACAGTGGGGCCCAGAACCCACACAGAGAACACAAGCATATCTAATAAAACTATACTAAACTTTCTGCTGCGCTGGTATTATTGTAACACAATGTATGGTTAAAGTAACGTTATTCCCCCCAAAGAGAGTAGGTCACTTTCATTCACAAGTTTGTTGGGCTGGTCGACTTTCCTGAAGGTTACGGGTGTGTCCCGCTCTGTTGTTTGCTTTCTGCGTTGTCTTGCATTTACGTGTTTATTTAGAGAAAGAGTGTGCCTGTGTCACAGGTTGCAGCACTCTCTAGATTGGGGGTTGTGTAAGGACCAGTTTCTCCATGTTTATGGAGTGTTAAAAATGCTGGTGTGCTAAAATATACATCACGCGATATCAATTGCGGAACACCCCTGTAACCTTGTGCCATGGTGACAGGTTCAGGAACTACCAATCAGCAGTGAGCTAGTGTGTATATAGGCGGGACGTGGGGAGACTAAAGTTACGTGTACCTAATGTATTCCTGTATAAGTTTTCAGCTTTAGAAAATCCGATATCAGTACATGACATCTGCCTGTACCGGGAACCACTTGAATACCGATGAGGTAACTTCTTACACCGACTGGTGCCTACACATGGACTGGAGATTTCTCTCTCTTGGTGTCCGCTAGTTTGTAGTGTCCCTCCGCCCGTTTGTGTCCACGACTAGAGGGCAAAGTTCGTACTCTAGTCATAAGTCATTGACTTATATTAAGTCAGCACAGCTTGTTTGAGCACGCTCTATTGTCAATTCGTGTAATGTGTTACTAATTTCACTGGCTTTGTAAGGTCAAGTAGGTCTACTTTTCAGAATTTGTGTTTGGTTTGATATATTTTCACGCAGACAAATTACAATACAAACATTTCGCGTTAAGTAACAACTTGGTAGAGAGACTAAAAGACATCAAGCAACTTCAACTTGTGTCTATAAATCAATCTTGCGCACAACTTACAGAACTCGGCCACGTAGTAACTGATTACATAGTTTTCCTCGCACCAGTCCAGGGTGGCCGTGGGCCTGCCCCAATAACCTTCCCCAGGAGCCATGAATGTCTGTCGCAGTGTCTCCTCTAACACAACACAACCTCAGACACAACACAGGTTTACAGAAGACTTCTTCACCGCGCGACCTGGCGGAAGTACACACCTGCACACCGGCTACAGGTGTGGCTTTCAAGTTCAGCTAGGTCGTGGGTCAGAACCAAGTCATGGGTCAGAGGTCAGATGTGTTGCTAGTCTTAAACATATTTCTGTGCATTCCCTGGGGCTTCATGACCTCCTTGTGTGTGTTGGGGGGGGGGGGGCAAGAATAGACCTACCGCCTTCCGAACAATCATGTTGTAAGAGGATAATAATTTGCGAGACTTCTTTCGAAGTCAGAGTGCATCAGAGGCAAAGAACCAACATTCTGCATACAAATAAACAAGATCTGTAAAACGGATGCACACGCAAAATTCAGATCCTGGAACAAAGCAGAAGTCAAGAAATTGATGAACAACCAGATCTTTCGGCCTGTGAACGCAAACTACAGCATTTATGTGCTTTTGTTTGTTCTTTCTTCTTTTGTCGTCTCACTTATATCTGGTTGTAGCCCAGTGTCGTGGTTTTGTCGTCTCACTGATATCTGGTTGTAGCCCAGTGTCGTGGTTTTGTCGTCTCACTGATATCTGGTTGTAGCCCAGTGTCGTGGTTTTGTCGTCTCACTGATATCTGGTTGTAGCCCAGTGTCGTGGTTTTGTCGTCTCACTGATATCTGGTTGTAGCCCAGTGTCGTGGTTTTGTCGTCTCACTGATATCTGGTTGTAGCCCAGTGTCGTGGTTTTGTCGTCTCACTGATATCTGGTTGTAGCCCGGTGTCGTGGTTTTGTCGTCTCACTGATTTCTGGTTGTAGCCCGGTGTCGTGGTTTTGTCGTCTCACTGATATCTGGTTGTAGCCCGGTGTCGTGGTTTTGTCGTCTCACTGATATCTGGTTGTAGCCCGGTGTCGTGGTTTTGTCGTCTCACTGATATCTGGTTGTAGCAAAGTGTCGTGGTTTTGTCGTCTCACTGATATCTGGTTGTAGCCCGGTGTCGTGGTTTTGTCGTCTCACTGATATCTGGTTGTAGCCCGGTGCCGTGGTTTTGTCGTCTCACTGATATCTGGTTGTAGCCCGGTGTCGTGGTTTTGTCGTCTCACTGATATCTGGTTGTAGCCCGGTGTCGTGGTTTTGTCGTCTCACTGATATCTGGTTGTAGCCCGGTGTCGTGGTTTTGTCGTCTCACTGATATCTGGTTGTAGCCCGGTGTCGTGGTTTTGTCGTCTCACTGATATCTGGTTGTAGCCCGGTGTCGTGGTTTTGTCGTCTCACTGATATCTGGTTGTAGCCCGGTGTCGTGGTTTTGTCGTCTCACTGATATCTGGTTGTAGCCCAGTGTCGTTGTTGTCTGTGTTTGTCTTGCGCTTCTCCGGTGGGTTAGTTGATTTATTTATTCATATTTTTGCAGGTTTTAGCTACATCATTTATCTAAATCTCTCTTGGTCTTCCCCTCGCCTTCATCGCCTTGATCTGTTAAGTATGATTTACATGTAGCATTAGGATACATTCAGGTCGACCCAGTCTTAAGGGGGCACCAGGTTAAAGTCATGGGAAGTAAAGGCGGCCGGCGTGATGCTGACCACATCCCCGGCCAAGCGCCAATTGGTCTATAAAGTATGTCTAGCCCTATATGCCCAATAGTCTAAAGGCGTGGAAAGGGAACATTTACTGTCTTCTATAAACAAACATCTTACCTTATCTGTATATTCTTCTCTCTCTCTCTCTCTCTCTCTCTCTCTCTCTCTCTCTCTCTTCTCCCCGCTGTCTGTCTCCCCCTGTCCCGTCTCTCACCCTCCCACTATCTCTCTCCTTGTGTGTCTCTATCCCGTCTCTCATCCCCACTTGATGCTCTTTCTTCCTTCCTGTCTCTCTTTTGCCCCGCCTCTCTCTTTCTTGCCCCTCCTCTCTCTTTCTTGCCCCCTCCCTCTCTCTTTCTTGCCTCTCCTCTCTCTCTTGCCCCTCCTCTCTTGCCCCTCCTCTTTCTCTCTTGCCCCTCCTCTCTCTCTTGCCCCCTCCTTTCTCTCTCTTGCCCCTCCTCTCTCCGTCTTGCCCACTCCTCTCTCTCTTGCCCCCTCCTCTCTCTCTTGCCCCTCCTCTCTCTCTTGCCCCTCCTCTCTCTTTCTCTTGCCCCTCTCTCTCCATCTCTTACTCCCCTCCTCTCTCTTTGCTTTTCTTTTCTCCTCTCTTCTTGCCTTGCCCCCTCTCTCTCTCTCTTCCCCCCTCCTCTCCTTTCTCTCTTCTTTCCCCCCTCCTCTCTCCTCTCTTGCCCCCTCCTCTCTCTCTCTTGCCCCCTCCTCTCTCTCTTTGCCCCTCCTCTCTCTCTCTTGCCCCTCCTCTCTCTCTCTTGCCCCCTCCTCTCTCTCTTCTTGCCCCCTCCTCTCTCTCTTGCCCCCTCCTCTCTCTTTGCCCCTCCTCTCTCTTGCCCCTCCTCTCTCTCTTGCCCCCTCCTCTCTCTCTTCTTGCCCCCTCTCTCTCTCTTGCTTGCCCTCCTCTCTCTTGCTTGCCTCCTCTCTCTCTCTTTCCCTCCTCTCTCTCTCTCTCCTCCTCTTCTTCTTTTGCCCTCTCTCTCTCTCTCTGCCCCCTCCTCTCTCTCTCTTCTTGCCCTCTCCTCTCTCTCTTGCCCCCTCTTCTCTCTCTTTCTTGCCCTCTCCTCTCTCTCTCTCTCTCCCCCTCTCTCTCTCTCTTGCCCCCTCCTCTCTCTTTTCTTGCCCCCTCCTCTCTCTCTCTTGCCCCCTCCTCTCTCTCTTGCCCTCTCTCTCTCTCTCTCTCTTGCCCCCTCCTCTCTCTCTTGCCCCCTCCTCTATCTCTCTTGCTTCCTCCTCTCTCTCTCTTCCCTCCCTCCTCTCTCTCTTTGCCCTCCTCTCTCTTCTCTTGCCCCATCCTCTCTCTTTCTTGCCTCATCCTCACTCTCTCTTGCCCCTCCTCTCTCTCTTGCCCCCCTCCTCTCTCTCTCTTGCCCATCCTCACTCTCTCTTTTGCCCCTTCCTCTCTTCTCTCTTGCCCCCTCCTCTCTCTTGCCTTGCCCCATCCTCTCTCTCTTGCCCTCCTCCTCTCTCTCTTGCCCCTCCTCTCTCTTTCTTGCCCCCCTCTCTCTCTTTCTTGCCCCATCCTCTCTCTTTTCTTGCCCCATCCTCTCTCTTTCTTGCCCCCGCTTCTCTCTTTCTTGCCCCATCCTCACTCTCTCTTGCCCCCTCCTCTCTCTTTCTTGCCCCATCCTCACTCTCTCTTGCCCCCTCCTCTCTCTTTCTTGCCCCCCTCCTCTCTCTTTCTTGCCCCATCCCCACTCTCTCTCTTGCCCCTCCTCCCTCTCTCTTGCCCCCTCCTCTCTCTCTTTCTTGCTTCCTCCTCTCTCTTTCTTGCCCCCCATCCTCTCTCTTCTCTTGCCCCCTCCTCTTCTCTCTCTTGCCCCCTCCTCTCTCTTTCTTGCCCCCTCCTCTCTCTCTCTTGCCCCCTCCTCTCTCTTTCTTGCCCCCTCCTCTCTCTTTCTTGCCCCATCCTCTCTCTTTCTTGCCCCCTCCTCTCTCTTTCTTGCCCCCTCCTCTCTCTTTCTTTGCCCCCTCCTCTCTCTTCTCTTCCTTCTCCTCTCCTTTCTTGTCTCTTTCTCCATGCCCCATCCTCTCTCTCTCTTTCTTCTTTCCTCCTCTATCTTTCTTGTCCCCTTCTCTCTCTTTCTTGCTCCATCCTCACTCTCTCTTGCCCCCTCCTCTCTCTCTTTGCCCCCTCCTCTCTCTTTCTTGCCCCTCCTCTCCCTTTCTTGCCCCCTCCTCTCTCTCTCTTGCCCACTCCTCTCTCTATTGCCCCCTCCTCTCTCTTTCTTGCCCCCTCCTCTCTCTTTCTTGCCCCATCCTCACTCTCTCTTGCTTGTCCTCTCTCTCTCTCTCTCTTTGCCCCCTCATCCTCTCTCGTTCTTGCCCCCTCCTCTCTCTTTCTTGCCCCATCCTCTCTCTCTCTCTTGTCCCCTCCTCTCTCTCTTTTGTCCCCATCCTCTCTCGTTCTTGCCCCATCCTCTCTCTCTCTTGCCCTCTCCTCTCTCTCTCTTGTCCCCTCCTCTCTCTCTTGCCCCCTCCTCTCTCTCTCTTGTTCCCTCCTCTCTCTCTCTTGCCCCCTTCTCTCTCTCTTTTGCTCCTCTCTCTCTCTCTCTTGTCCCCCTCCTCTCTCTCTTGTCCCCTCCTCTCTCTCTTTGCCCCTCCTCTCTCTCTCTTGCCTCTCCTCTCTCTTGTCTCTCTCTTGTGCCCTCTCTCTCTCTTGCCCCCCCTCTCTCTCTCTTCTTTGCCCCCTCTTCTCTCTTTCTCTTGCCCCTCCTCTCTCTCTCTCTCTCTTGTCCCCTCCTCTCTCTTTTGCCCCTCCTCTCTCTCTCTTGCCCCTCCTCTCTCTCTTGTCCCCTCCTCTCTCTCTCTTGTCCCCTCCTCTCTCTCTTGTCCCCTCCTCTCTCTCTCTTGCCCCTCCTCTCTCTTTTGCCCCTCCTCTCTCTCTCTTGTCCCTCCTCTCTCTCTCTCTCTTGCCCCTCCTTTCTCTCTTGCCCCCTCCTCTCTCCCTCTTGTCCCCTCCTCTCCCTCTTGCCTCTCATCTCTCTATCTCTCTCTCTTGTCCCCTCCTCTCTCTCTCTCTTGCCACTCCTCTCTCTCTCTTGTCCCTCCTCTCTCTCTCTTGCCCCCTCCTCTCTCTCTCTCTTGCCCCCTCCTCTCTCTCTCTCTTGCCCCTCCTCTCTCTCTATATTGCCCCTCCTCTCTCTCTTGCCCCTCCTCTCTCCTTGTCTGTCTCTATCCTGTCTCTCACCCTCACTTGCTGCTCTTTCTTCCTTCTTCTCGCTCTCTCTTGTATCCCCCCCCCCGCGCTCTCTCTCTCTCTCTTGCCCCCTCTTGTCCTTTGTCCCCTCCTCTCTTTCTCTTGTCCCCTCCTCTCTCCTTTGTCCTTTGTCCCCTCCTCTCTCTCTCTTGCCCCCTCCTCTCTTTCTCTTGCCCCTCCTCTCT